TATCAGTGTAAATGTATTTCTTAGTAAGGGTCAAGATCAAAAATTTGAGACACATTGATCCAAAAGAATCCCAGTAGCAAGTGAAAATGTAGTAAGAATCTAACCCAAAGTCCACCTTTGTCCAAAACATATCTGCCATTATTTAGGCAGCCAAACAAATACAGGATGCAAGGATGCAATCAATCATGTTTAGAGTGCAAGAAATGGTAAAAACTTAATGAAATTTTCCTTTTATCCAATGGAATGATGATCTCTCTACATCTGAAGAGATAACCGTTAGGATTTAGTGATCCATTTACCAAAGGCCACTTCCTAAACACTTCACCCATATTCTCCCTCTAATTTCCAATTATTAAAATAAAAGATTTTGACAAGATAATCAACTCCAGCATCTGTCATGTTACTTATTTATTCTTATAAGTTTATTTAAATAACCTCTACACCCAATGTGGGGCTCAAACCCATGACCCCGAGATCAAGAGTCGCATGCATGCTCCTCCACTGAGCCCAGCCAGGCACCCCCAGCATCTGTCACTTTAAATCAATGGTTTTCTTTTCTTTCTTTCTTTCTTTTTTTTAAGTAATCTCTACACCCAATGTGGGGCTTGAAGTCACCACCCCGAGATCAAGAGTCACGTGCTCCTCCGATCAAGCCAGCCAGGTGCCCCTAAATCAAGTTTTCAACTGAGGAAGATTTTACACCACCATCACCCCCACTGACACCCCCAGGACATCTGGCAATGTCTGGAGACATTTTGATAGTCACAAATGGGGGTGAGGGAGGAGATGAGATGCATTTATTAGCTCAAAATGTCAACAGTGCTGCAAGAAACCCTGTAGATCAAAATTGTATTCCTTTTGAACCTAAATAAATTAGGGGCAGATAACCTTAATCTAGATCCCTTTAGTTCTTATAAACTCAGCAGAAGCAGCTGCATTATTAGCATACCAACAAACAGTTTATAACAATTTGCAACAAATTTGTCCTCTTGCAAGTGTCAGAGAACACAAATCTCTCCTCTGTTCATTACAAGGTCAACTAAAATTAACTTTTGTACAAAGTCACAAAGGTCTCCAATCAGAAGTGTACTTCATATATAGTTGAAGTTATTACAGTATTTAAACATTTTTCTATTAACCTTAAGTCAGTGAACAAGAGAGCAATTTAGATTCTGATATGGCCATTATGTAATGAAAATTTCTTTTACAAAACATCTTCAAATCAGCTGAATGGGTGTTACCAACAGGTGATTACAATGCCTGTAAAATAAACACTTTGAAGGAAATATAATCAAGGCAATGGAATAATCCAGGTGATGGCTGACTCCTCCTGTCCCTAACACCCTAAGTATCACCCTTGTTAAGCAACTTATCAAAATTCAGATATCCTCAAAGGAAGAGCAGAAAGAGAACTTAGAAACTCTTTAATGGTGTAAAGAAAGAACATACACAGGGGGAAAGTTCCTCAAAGAAGAGACTAAGATAAAAGCATTGAGACATAGATAATGCTTGTGAAGTCCTTAGCACGATGTCTATCTACCTAGCAGGTACTAAGTACACACAAAAAAGTTATCTTTTGGGGGCGCCTGGGTGGCTCAGTCGTTAAGCGTCTGCCTTCGGCTCAGGTCATGATCCTGGAGTCCCGGGATCGAGTCCCACATCGGGCTCCCTGCTCGGCAGGGAGTCTGCTTCTCCCTCTGACCCTCCTCCCTCTCATGCTCTCTCTCATTCTCTCTCTCGCAAATAAATACAATCTTAAAAAAAACAACAACAAAAATAAATAAAAATAAAAAAGAAATACAAATTTAAAAAATTTTTTTTAAAGATTTTATTTTTTATTTATTTGACAGACACAGCGAGAGAGGGAACACAAGCAGGGGGAGTGGGAGAGGGAGAAGCAGGCCTCCCCGCTGAGCAGGGGGCCCGATGCGGGGCTCGATCCCAGGACCCCGGGATCATGACCTGAGCCAAAGGCAGACGCTTAACGACTGAGCCACCCAGGCGCCCCTTATAATTTGTATTCTTATCCTGAGGATCACCTTAGTTCTTAAGGAAAACACAGCACTCTCTCGAGGTGTAAGGATAAAAGAGGAGGTAAGAAGCAAGTGATTATGACTGGAAACACAAAAACTGACTTTTTCACCTTTATTTAACCACAAATTATGATCCCTGAAAAGACTTAAACATTAGAGATCCAACCTGCCTAGATCTCAATCTATCCCTAGAGATAACACACTTTATAGTATGTAGCCTTCCAAAACTTTGTAAATGGATTTACAAGTATCCATTTGTCCGTAGAAACATGCATCATTATGTAGATTTTTCTCAAGCGCCTTTCCACGACAGTAGAGATTTATCCTATTGGTTCTAACATTGCAAGTCAGTCGTCCTAAAGAAGTGAGGTGCCAAAGACCTACCCTGCTCCTCTCAAAACCTAAAAAGTGCTGAGTGGTGAGAACTAACGATGTGGCGGTGAAAATGCCAAATTCGAAGCAATACAGGAGCAAACTTATAGTTTCCCTACCAGAATGGTATGTGGGATGGAGGCCTAAAGACTTCGTTAGAGAAGTCATTGTGGATAAAATATGCACCCGCCGCGCCATCACACACATTGAATCTTCTTCACTACCCGAAATTTTAGACCTTCCTCTTCTGGACCGCTGACTGGACGACCTGCCCGAGCGCTTTCCGTAGGCAATGCGCCTATTGGCTCCAAATTTGGTCCATCCATTTAACCGCCCGACTCCTGCATTCCCCATTGGAAGTCAACCCGCTGCCTCTTGGAGGAGCCCAACCTACCGCGCGCTCCGTGCTCATTGGCTCAGGGACACGCTGCTCAGGAGCAGAAAACCCGCCTCCCACATTCCGATGGCCCAAGGACCGATCAGTCGCCAGCTAAAGGCAGACCCAATTGGCCCATACACAAGCCAGTCAAACTCTCCGGCAGCAAAGCTCCATAGAATTTACGGGAATAAAACATCCCGCCCATGTTCTTCCATTGGTTGGCCGAACGCACCGCTCCCCCTTCACTAGCCCCCACCCCGCGGTCCATTCATTTCACACAATAACGGGCCCAATTGGAGTCAGTTCAAGACCTCATATGGGTAGGCAATTCTATCCGCCACTTACCCGGAATCGAGACCGATCACTCACGCTAATGTCTTCCCTGTTCCTCTGTGGTGAGGCCAGACCACAAGACACCACCGCCGCCGCCTTCTGCGCAACGCCAACCGCCCGCCAAAACGGATCCTTCCCTGCGCCTGCGCGACCAATCCTGGGACTGGACCCTTTCTCCGCCCATTACGCCTGCGCAAAACGGGGCACAACTCCCGCCATTACGCAGGCGCTGTAGATTCGCCGCCGTCTCCCGCCCGCCATTTCACGTGCTCCAAGCGCCAAGCGGAGCTTTTTAATGCGCCTGCGTAAACTCGCCATTTTACTACACATGCGCTCAGCAGGCGGTCGTTGCAAAAAAAAAAAAAAAAAAAGTCACCCGCTAACTTCTTTCCTAAGACATAGTATTAACCGTACTTTGCCAAGTGGGTTGAACGTAATTTCCAGGCGTGAAGGATTAAAAATTTATTTAAATACCTTAGGTACATTCAAATATGAATGATTGCTTGGCGAGCCAATCACACTAGTTAAGGGTAATATTACCCGGGAACCAATGGCCCCTAAGGGGTGGAGACTACGTAGAACGCCCAAACGGATGACGTTTACAGCAATGCGGGACTACAGACCAATAGCAGGGAGAAGCTATTGCAAATATCCAATCAGAGATACTCAGGGGCGGAGTCTACCAATGCCTAAAGCGAGGAGGCGGGATAAAAAAGCGAGGCCGAAGGTAGGCTGGCAGATACGTTCGTTAGATTACTCCTTTCTGCCCGTGGACGCCGCCGAGTAAGCATCGTTAAAGTCTCCCCTCCCACCGCCGTCATGTCTAAGTCAGAGGTGAGTAACAAGCTGTCTCCAATCTAATTTTTTTCCCTCGTTCCTTCCTGAGTTCGGTAGGATGCGGCCTGGTTCGGTTCCTTGCGCCAGCTCATTCGGCAGTTCTTCGGTTGCTGCCAGGGCCTACCCCTCCCAGAGTTCAGGTCGCCATTTTGTCCTCGTCGTCGCCATGAGGCCGCCGTCCTGCAACACTTGGTTATCACGCCGGGCTTTCCCCTCCTGGCAAAACAGTTAGGCACATTTGATTGGTTTTGTTTTACTTTGTCTCAGGGGGCGAGTTCTTAAAGAACAGTTCCAGTTCCCTGCTGTTTATGTATCCTTCCAGCCCAGTCCTTTTGTTGCGCGTGCGTCGGAGGGAGAGTAGGGACGCATGCGCTCGTCGCTTCCCAGCCCCCAACATAGCATCTCCCCTAATGGGGAGAAGCACGTGGCTTGCTGTGACCCGAAGGAACAATAAGGGCTATGTAACATAGTTGTCTGGTTTTGCTTTTCCTAACTGAAAGGTGTTTGGCGTTACAGCCCCCACGTAACGAGTTTTTTCTCCTGCTCCTAGTCTCCCAAAGAGCCTGAACAGCTGCGGAAGCTCTTCATCGGAGGTTTGAGCTTTGAAACAACCGATGAGAGT